CACCTTCAGCTTGATAAGAGGGTGAGGACTAAGGCCAGGCTTCTATATGGAGAGCGAACCAGAAGAATGCCAAAGAGAGGAACAGGAATAGGAGGGGCCCCCACTTTCAAAACACTCATTTGGTAGTTCCACCCACCAGCAGCTCTGAAGGAGAAAAATGAGGCAGTCTGATCACACCAAGATGACACCATTTGAGTAGTGACTTGTGAGCTGCACTTTAAGGTAGAACCATAGGTGCCGCCCTGTCCAGAACAAAGGTGGGGGGGAAATTGAAGATTTATAGAAGGAACAATTAATCCAAAGGACCACTAATCAGGTAAAAGACCATGTAAACCTCAACCTCCAGGCCCTCACACTGGAGCTGGGTGGTGCCTGACTGCTCTAAAATGGATCACAATAGCAGAAAATCTTGGATAGAGTCAGGGGCCTTACAGAGACTGGGAGAATCCCCAAGACAAATAACCTATAGTCACTCGTGGAACCTGGAGCTAAACTCACCCCTAAGGCTGAAATTGTAGCCAAAAAATGTTGTTGTTGTTGCTGCTGCTGCGTAACCTTCAGTCGGGAGTGACTCATAGCTAAGCTTCCAGCAGGTTTTCAGAGGCAGGAAACAGCACAGGAGGAGATTGCCCTTCCTTGTCCTTCACAGCAGCTGGTACATTCGAACCCTTGGGTTGGCAGTTCAACTCCATACCACTAAAACACCAGAGTTGTGGTGGTCAAATAGGCAGGCAGCATTCACGTGAGGTTAAAGACCTGATGCCGAAAAAAAGGTATGGTAGAAAGAATAATGGAAATGAATATCACAGACTAGAAGTGCCAAGGAGAAAAGATGACTGCATTGATTCCAGCTCCTAGTGACGCTCCATCAGATTTCTGAGACTGTAAATCTTCACGGGAAGACTATTCATCTCTCTCTGGCAGGTCAGCTAGTAGATTCAAACCATCAGCCTGACATATTACACACTATGGCAATAGGGGTCAAAGTTAAAGTCTTAGAAATCCAGGGAGACAGTTCTGTTATCTTCCCAAGTGGATATGAGTCAGAATTGATTTGACCTTTAAGGGTTTGGGGTATTAAAAAGGAATAGATAAAGGAGAACAGAATAAGTTGGGAAGTCCACAGGTTGCAGTGTAGGAAAAGTCTACTCACTCTCAAGCCCCTGTCTCCCTGGCCACCTACCAGCCTTTGGTAAATTTCCAGCCTGGCTCTGAGACCAGCTATCAGCACTGCACCAAGAGGCATTTTTCTGTGAAGCAGGAGTCATAGGATGGGAACAGTTCTAGACTGTGAAGTCTGGTGTTGAGGGCTGTAGGAGAGTTCAATATCAGAGGCACTTGGTTTGTGTGTGACTGTAGTTGTTAGTTGCCTTTGAGTTAGCTCCAAGTCACAACAAGCCCAAGGACGAAACCCTGCCTGGTCAGGCACCATCCTTGCAACCTCTTCTACGCTTTAGCCCATTGTCGTAGTCTTTGTGTCAATTCTTCTCGCTGAGGGTTTCCCTCCTTCACATTGACTGGATCCTGGGGGAAAAACAGGGTCAGGTCCTTCCTGGTAGCCTGCCCAAAGTATGTGAAAATATCTTTTTCTCGTTGCTGTCAAATTGGATGTGATTCATAGCTGACCCTCTTCTGGGTTTCCAAGCTGTGAGTCACACAGGAGAAATTGCCTCTCTTTCTCCCTTGGAGCTGCTGGTGGACTCGACCCACTAGAGAGATGTGGTCTTTGGGTTAGTAGAGCAACTTGCCATGGACGAGGCCACCAGAGCTCCCTGTGTGTGAACAGAGCAGTCGAAAAGCACAGTCTTCTCTCCATTTGAAAGCCTTGGCATGAGTCTGGAAACCATGTTGGATTTTTAGAAGCTGCCTTGCCCATTGGTAAACCTCCTAACCCTGATGCTGACCTGCCCATCTACCCCAAGGACAGCATTCCTTTTTTTCTGATCTCTGTTCAGTTCAGTGTTATCAGCACCGATTTCATTATAGTCAAACAAGATTAGATGGCATGCCCCAAAGCATCTTCAGATATGGCTCTAGTTATCAACGCATCTGTATAACAGACCCCTCAAAAAACAGGTATGAATGAGGAAGTCCATTTACTAACAGATTCCAAGAAAAACTTGTCTGGTCACTTTTGCCCCAGGACCATCCTGTAATCAATGAAGTAGCAAGTACCTTTGACCAGTCACATAATCTGATTCTGTGTTATGGTCCTATTGCTGCCAAATCTTCCCTTCTAGATGTCTACTATTAGCTCCCCTGATAGTTTTTCAGCTAGTTAGGAATTTAGTGACCGTTAGTTCTTGATCCAGCAATATAAGGCTGTAGCCTAGGTGTGTATTTGTGTTCGTGTTTTGTCCAGCAGCGGAGCCATTTTTGCTCTGTGACAGTGGACATTTCCCTGATTGCAATGCTCCACAAACTTATTTAAGCAGACTGTCATGTTGTTCTGAGGCAGAAGCCGTAGCTGCTTGGGGTTGCTAAGCTGGGACAGGAAGGCGGCTGGGGAGCAGCTCATTGTTATCTGAGGTCCTGAAAGAGTGGATTTTACTTAGCCAGGTCTGGTTGTTGCTGTGAACTCAAAGTTGACCCTGCAGCAGGTTTTCAGAGGCATTAAACCACATGGGAGGAGAGTGCCCATCTTTTCCTTGAGCAGCAGCTGATGGATTCCAATCCACTGCCGTTGGGTTGACAGGGCAGCCCCTTACCACTCAGCCACGAGAGTTCCCTCAGCTGGTTTTGGGGGTGGGGTGTAAAAAAGTGCCTCGATAGTGCAGTGGTTAAAGCATATGACTGACAACCAAAGTCTATGATTGGAATTCCAGAGGGCACAGGGTACTCCATAAGAGAAAGATGAGGCAGTCACTTATTTACAGCCTCAGAAACCCTGAGGGCTCTCTACTCTGTCCTACAAGGTTGCTGTAATTGGAGGTCACAGCATGGCAGTGAGTGAGTGTGTTTGTGTGTGTGTGTGTGTGTGTGTGTGTGTGTGTGTGTTCTGGGTGAGTGTGTATGTGTGTGTTCTGGGGTGTGTGTAGTGGGGGATTCAAGTGTGGTCCAACTCTGCAGACTATCAGCAGGGCAGAAGAGAGCCAGGTCAAGGGTGATAAGAGGCCTAGGCGGCGGCCATCCTTGTCACATCCTCTGGTTTTGGGAGGATCCACCTGCAGTAAAGGTTGTCCCACTATTGGACTTGACATTGTCGCTTCTCGCAGGCTAGGGGGCTCTTGTCTGGAAGCTGCAACCATCCTCCACCTCGGGAAGCCATCGCCGATGCCTGAGCTTCCCGGCCAGCGCTGCGGCCCTGATGGACATTAATGGCCTCGCAAGGATAAGCCGACTTCACTTAAGGTCTCCTTCTGACTACGCTAGAGCCCGGGGTGATTGTTAGAGTCCGAAATTGGAGCATTGGGGAGGAGGGGCACACCACAGTAGGAGATTAATAGGTGAAAGGAAGAGAAAGAAGGGATGTATCCAGGATCAAAACCAGAGGAAAGGCAGAAAGCAGCAGCCCGCCCCAGCCCTTCCCAGCGCAGGCTCTGGTCGGGTGATCAACTGTCGCGCAGTGCCGCTTGCCGGCACTGAGAAGAATTGCATCGTCCAGCCCCCAGTGGGGAATGTGGTTTCAAGGGAGGGTATACAGGGTATCATGGGCCCCCAATCTACTCTGTCCCCCACCTCGGATCTGGCACTGACCTCTCTGAGCTGGGGTACTTGAAATCTGGGCACAGTGATCCCAGATGTGGAAAAGTCCAGGAGAGTCGGGTAAAGTCAGAAGCCAGACGTTGACGTGTGGAGGGCTCAGGTCGCTGGAGGGGGGCTGGAGCAGAGGCCTCCCCCCACTCGGCGAGGAGGGTATTAAAAAGGGGGTAAGAAGAAGGAGTGTCTGAGGAAACGCGCTTCAGGCTGGGGAGGCTCCATTCCTGGGAGCAGAGCGTGGTGGATGAGGGGTGGTGAGAGGGAAAGGGTTCACCGAGGGCCAGATGTGAAATGAGTGCAGGGGAAGGCTGGGTGAGCTGCCACGGTCTGAGGTCAGAGTTGAGGGACATCGGGAACTGTGAGTGAGGCGAGGATCTGAGTCCTGACTTTCCCCCTCTTCTAGGCTTCAGTGAAGAGCTCTGGTAGCGTAGCGGTTAAAGCATGCAACTACTAATCAAAAGATGGTGGCTAGAACCCACCAGAAGTGGCTCAGATGATGTACAGCCTGGGGAAGGCCAACGGGGCAGTGCTACTCGGTCCTACAGGGTCGCTGTCCACTTGATGGCAGTGAGTTTGGTTTGGGCACACTTCAACAGGTGACGGACAGCAACACTCTCCACGTGGGGCTTCCTCTTCCCCGAGGCCCTGCTACCTGGCTTGGGTCCCGCACCCTGAGCAGGGACAGAGCTGGCAGAGGAACCCAGTTTCTGGCAGCCGTCTCTGTCCCTCTCCCTTTGTATCTCTGTATCTTTTTATGTCCTGAGGACACGGATGCTGGCGGCTGGGCGGGGGCTAGTCTTGGCCAGCAAAAGAGCTCCTGACATTTGCCAGGGCGTGTGAGCGGCTGTTTGTGCCCCGGGGCTAGAGGGCAGAGAGCACAGCGCGGAGAAAAGGGTCGGACGCAGGGGTAAGGGAACCAAGCCGGGTTTATTGAGGAGAGGGGGGACCTGGAAGGAACTGCGCACCCTGGAGGTCGCAGCGACTTCTCCGAGAACAGGAGCCAGGGCGCTGCAGTCGGGGGCTGCGCTCAGGGCGACCTCAGGGTGAGACGCAGGCAGACATTGGTTGGGAGGGCGACGTCTCTCAGAAGGTTCTAGAAAGAACAATGCAAAAAAGGTGGGGAGGGGGCCGTGCGCTCCCCCTGCCCGCCCCCAAACTGGAAGGATAGAAATTCCAGCGGAAGGAATTTCTCCATCTAGTCGTTGGAAAGGACAGAGTGCCTGGAGGGAGCATGGCTGTGCGCTGTCCCCTGTTCTCCCCACATACCTGGAGAGAGCCTCTGAGGTCCTGGGGTGAGGATCCTACCGCAGATCCGGGTCCGGGTCTCGCGCGTTCCAGGGCACACGCTTGGGAAGCTCTGCCTGAGTGCCCTTGTGGGCAGCCTCTTCCTGCTCCGGCACCCTCGAGGGCAGCTGCAGGAGAGCATCCGTGGCAGAGGAACCCTGAGGTCTTCCCAGGCCAGGAGCCCCCAGAGCGACGGTATCCCAGGCTCCGGGCCCGGCGGGCGGAAGCAGAGCGCGGCGCCAGAGGGAGGGCGCGCGGCGCAGCCCCATGAGCAGGCCGGCGGCGCGGCCCACCGTGTGGTAGCGGGGACTCCCCGCGTGCTTATACCAGGCGTCAGTGGGCGCCGCCAAGAGCAATAACAGCAGCAACAAATGCCGACCCCAAAGGGCCCCCGGCACCAGAGCGTTCACGTCCATGGCGCCTGCTGGACAGTCTTGCAATTGACTGCCCTGGATCTGGGCGCACGTGGAATCGGGGTCTGGACCAGCAGCAGCGCGGTGGAGGAGGTGGGCTAGAGACAAGCGTCGCACCCAAGCGAGGCCGCTGTAAGTGCTCTGGGGCCCCGCCCCAGACGCCCCCGCGGTACCTGCTCCACAGGATGAGGGATGAGAGATTCCCGGTGAATTCCTGAGTGGGCTCTAGCTGGAACCGGTCTGGGGACTCAACTGGGGGAGGGGGGCTTCTACTCCCCCTCTAGGCCACTTTGCCTCCCTCCTCCAAGGATGGTGAAGAGTATACTTAGCCACCCACCCCCACTGCGGGAAGAGGTCAGGGCTGGCCCAGACCCTTTGGGTGAAAGTCTCTTCACTGTGCACAGTCCTATCACATCCGCAACACCCCTTCCTGTCCTTTCCTCATCCCTGGTCTCTCCCCACCAACCCATTTCCCAGCTGCAGCCACATAGATGCGTGGAAATCACAAGGCTGACCACATTATATCCAAATACCTCAACTTTCAGAGTAAAGACCCAGCCCAGCCGCACATGTCCAGCCCTGGCGGGACAGGTAAAACCTGACCACCTTCAGCCCAGCCTCCTCTCTGGTCCTTCTCCTCCCCCAGTACTCCAGGTATTCTCAAATCTCTATCCTCCCTCCCTCAACCCTTACTAAACAACTCATGATTTTGTCCACTGGGAAAGAGCTGCCTCCTCAAAGTAGAATCTACATTAACGATGATGCAGCTGGAGAATCAGAAGCCGCCAGTCCCTGGAAAAACACTTCATGCTTGATAAAATAAAGAATCTGAGAAAAAGAGGAAGATCCTTAGCATCCTTAGGTGGCTGAAACAATGGCTCAAGCACAACAGAGATTGTGAGGTTGGTACAGGATCAGGCAGGATTTTCTTTTGTACATAGGGTCTCTATGAATTAGAATGATCTTGATGGCACCGAGTAACAACAATGTCTCATGTGCCTACAACATTGTCTTCTCAAGTTGACAAACTTCTATTCATCCTTAAAGATCTCACCTAAAAAGCCCTCCTCTGAGCAATCCCTCAAAGTATTCTTTCTTGTGCCAGCCCAAAAACAACAACTCATTCCCAGAGGACAGGGCCAGACTCATTCCTACCTGTGTTCCAGTCCAGGGCAGATCATCCCCTGTGCCAATGTCAGCAACTACACATGGTGCACCTTCTAGGTACCTGGCACCAGTGATTTTGTTCCAGATCACCATGTTGTCTTTAGATGCTGTAGACTAGACTACAACTCAGCAACTGCATGCCCAGCAGATGGAAACCCTGCCTAATCCTGCTTTATATTCATGCTTTCCACTGTGCTTACGCCAATTGTTGCAGTCACAAAGGCAATCCATCTAGTTGAGGGTCTTCCTCTTTTTTGATGACTCTCTAGTTTTCCTGGGGTGCTCTGGTGGTATAGTCTGTAGGATTGCAACACTAACTCAAAGGTCTTAGCCTTTCTTGTGGTTAGAATCCACAAACTGCTCTGAGGGATAAAAATGGAGCAAACTCTTCCTGTGGAATATACTGTCTCAGAAACCCAGTGGAAGGTCAGCTATGAGTTGGTTCCAGATTGAGGCTATACATTTGAGTTGTGTCTACTTTTCCAAGCATGATGCTTTAGTCCAAGGATTAGCCTCTCCTACTGAAATGTCTGAAGTATGTGAAATGAAATTTCTCCATCCTTGTCACTAAAGAGCATTCTGACTTCATTTCTTCCAACACAGATTTGTTCATGTTCTTCTAGCAGTCTCTGGTCTTCCCCAACACTACAATTCAAAGTCATCAATTCCTTTTCAGTCTTCTTTATTCATTGTCTATCTTTCATATATATGTACATATACATACATATACATATACATATACATATACATATACATATACATATACATATACATATACATATACATATACATGTTGTTATCTATTGCCTTTGAGTCGAGCACGACTCATAGCAATCCTATGAACAAAAGACCTGAAGCCTTTCTATAACATTCATTATTTCTCAAAGTTCATACAGTGTCCAGAGACATATTGTTTAGGAAGTGGATGCCACTCCTGCTTCCAAACACATATACATATCCACTTCCTAAACAACATGCCTCCAGAAACTCTATGAACTTTGAGAAATGTCGATAGTTATAGAAAAGTTTCAGGCTTTTTGTTCATAGGGTCACTATGAGTCATGCTCCACTTGAAGGCAATCAACAATAACAACATATATATATACATATGAACCAATAGGAAATACTACAACTTGGGACAAGCATACTTTTAAAAAAATCTTTAAAAGATCATTGAGGAACATCTTATTTTTACCACCTAACAACTCCAAGAGATGTGACTATAATTGAATCTGCTTTACCTACCTGAATGCTGGGACCTGGAGAGAATTGACTAAGAAGCCCTGGTGGGTAACCTGGAGGGAGGACTGAAAGCCAATTCAGGCCCCAGTCACAGCACAGTTTTCCACAGAAACCTCTACTCCCTCCACTCCCTTCAGTTAGAGTCCCAGGAGCTGGGTTCAAATCTGTCTCATGTTTGATGGAAGTGGATATAGGGAAGAGGCAAGCACCTCAACCTCTGCCTCCATTTTCTCATCTGTAAGATGGGGATGCTCATAATAGTCCTATGCTTTTGATTTGTAGTGTCAGAAAAGAATATTTTAATATACCATGTACTGCCAAAATAACAAACAAATTGGTCTTGAAAGAAGTGCAGCCAGAATGCTCCTAGGAAGTTGTTGTTGTTGTCTGCCATCGAGTTGCTTGTGACTCACAGCGACCCTATGTACAAGAGCCCTAAGTGCTGCTGTACCCTGTGCCAACCTCGCTGTCTCAAACGCACTCATTCCCACCACTCCACTCTCAGAATCAATCCATCTCATCGAGGTTCTTCCTCTCCTGCACCGTCCCTCCACTCTCCCAAACATGATGTCCCTCTCCAGGGACCAGTCCCTCCTTGCAACATGCCCAAAGTATGTCAGACGAAGCTTCAGAATCCTTGACTCCAAGGAGCATCCGGCTTTACCCTCTCCAGGACAAACCTGTTTGTTCTCCTAGCAGTGAAAGTGGTAAAACTCTTCTCACTTTGGTCATGTTGTGAGGAAGGGTCAGTTTGTGGAGAAAGATGTCATGCTGGGCAAAGTAGAGGGTCAGGGAAAGAGAGGAAGACCCTCAGTGAGATAAACTGGTACATGGCTGACAGTGAGGTGAAGATAGTGCAGGACGTGGCAGGATTTCATTCTTTCCGGCATGGGGTCCCTGTGAGCAGAGGGACCCTAACAGCAACATCAAGGACACTTTAGTGGCCTAGTGGCAAGGAGCTACACTGCCATTCCCAAAGACATGAGGTCCAAATTCACCAGCTGCTCCACAGGATTAGGGCTGCTGTACATAGGCTCGCTATGAGTTGCAAACCATACTCGACGGCACATAACAACAACAACTTCTCCCTTGCTATTTACTGCCTCTGAGGAAGCCAACTGGGGGTCAATTTTGACTGAAGGGAAAACAGCAACAACAAGGGAGCTCTGGTGCCCTCCGGGTAGGGTATTTCCCTGCCAACCCAAAAATGTAAAATTTTAATCCAGCAGCTGCTCTGAGGGGAAAAGACGGTCTCTGAAAACCTGCTTCTGTGTTAGCTACGAATCGATTTGTATTTTAAGACAATTAGTTGAGTTGAATTGCTGAACAATATAGTGGCTATGCGATTCCTATTGTTCTTGCAGCTTGTTTGGGTGACTGGCCAGCTCCAGGTCCACCCACCACCACTCTCTCTCCACACCAGTCAAAAATGCCTGGATAGACAGGTTGAGTCACAGGCGTGGAACTGTGGGAAGGGAAACCGCTGGGTGCTTGGAGTGGCTTGGAGGACCCCAGGGACCCGGGGCTTCCCGAACAGCGGTCTCCACGGGGCTCCCCAAGGACCCCTCTGCTTGAAGAGCTGCCTGGAGTACAAGGTGGGCGGGCAGCGCAGCACGACTCAGGCAAGAGCCGGAAGGATGGCTGCTTTGTAAACACACATAGGCACACACAACACCACTCTTCCGTCCCCTAGGAGGCCTCCCTCCTCTCAGCTAAGCAGAATGGGGCGCCCTTGGAGTCCCAGAGAAGGTAGTGGCAGCCAGGTCGAGGCCGCCCCCTGGAGGTATATGCCAACCTTCTTTCCCAAACCCCACCGCCCTCCATGTCATTTCCACTCAGTGACCTTGGAGGATGGAATGGTGCTGCCCCGTAGAGTTGCCCGGCTGTAAGTCTTTAGGGAAGCTCCGACCACCAACTTTTGGTTAGCAACACAATGCTCAATCCGCTGTGCTACCAGGACATCTTTCTTTAGAAAGGGAAATCCTATCAGTATGAAAATGGATAAATTGGTAGAGTGTGTGGTCCACGCTTTAAGGCAGTGTTTGAAGCATTGGCTACTGAAAGGTTCAGGATTCAAACCCATCAGCCTCTCAGGGAAAGACAGATGTGGCAGTTGGTTTCCGTAAAGATTTATAGCCTTAAAAACCTCTTAAGCAATTGACTAACAACAGCATGCTACTACTATCCACCACATAGGTGAGGATCCCTGGGACATGGTGGTTAAAGGTCGAGCCTGGAGGTCCGCAGGTCCCACCCACAAGCGGAGAAATATGAAGGAGTTGGGTTCAGGATAGATTTACAACCTTGGAAACCTCATGGGGGCGCTCTACTGTATCCTACACGGCTACTAAAAGCTGGAATCCACTCTATGGCACACAACAACAGCAACAACTTGCTCATGATTGTATTTTTTATTTTTATTTTAATTGTGATTTTAACAAAAGTTTACAGAAAAGTTAATTTTCATTCATCCATTTTTTACATTTTCCTCCCTCCCTCTCCCTTTCCCCTCCCAGAGTGAACTTACTTTTTTTAAAGAAAGTCATTCATTGTTGCACAATTACCTCCTTCCCTCCCCCCTCCCCCTTCCCTGTCCTCTGTACCATACCTCTTCTTCTAGACCATTGTCCTACATATAGTGCCTAAACATTTTAGTGCTGCATAGTATTCCATTGTATTTGTTGTTTGCTGCTCTGTTGATCTTTGATATTGTTGCTGGGTATGACTTTAAAAAAAAACAAACACAAAGGGAGCTCTGGTGGCCTGGTGGCAAGACACTGCACTGCAATCCCAGAGGTATGTGGTTCAAATCTACCAGATGCTCTGCTGGAGAAGGAGGGAGCAATCTCCTCCTGTACCAGTCAGATCTGATTTGATGGTACACATAAAAATAATACAATTAAAAAAAACCACCAAAAATGTTCTTTTTTCATTTTTTTCTCATTGTTGCACTTTTTCTTCCCCCCTCTTCTTACCCCTCCCCCAGCACTCGCTGCAATGCACCTGTTGTTCCAGATTGTTGTCATACATATAATTCCTACTTATAAATTCCTTTCAGACAGTTCTTCCCCTCATCTGATTTAATGCACTACTCATTATCTGACCCTCCAGCGGGTTTTCAGAGACCATAAATAGCATGAGAAGAGATTGTCCTTCCTTCTCCCGAACAGCTGGTGGAACTGTGTGCCTTTGGCATTGCAGCACAGTTTCTTACCACTAGGCCACCACCACCAGAGTGCCAAAGATGCAGTTTAAATTTACTTTGCATTAATTAGAGAATTCAAGGATGAAAAATAGAACTCTACAACTTGTCTTAAAAGAGAGAGCAGGAGTTTTGTTTGTTTGACTAGCAGAACACATAAACCCAGGTGAAGTCCCCAAGGAAATGGTGGTCATGCATCACTGCTAGTTGTCCTTTGGTCCTTTATCTTCTAAGCAATCATTGTATTTTCTTTTTAAGATTTTAGACATTTATTCTGATCACAAATCCAACCCAAATGTGAATAAATAAATGTGTTATCTTTTCTCTTCCCATAGCCTATTTAGCCAGAGTTGTCCCACCTATGATTTTAAAAATAGATGGCAACTTGGTCTTTCAAAATCCTTTTTGAACTACAGCTCATTTGTTAACTCCTATGACCAATTTCTAATCCTATGGGTGATAGTCTCCAAAAGGTAAGGAAAATAAATGGGTTGAAGGCACTGGGAGGGATCTTCAGCAAACTGAAGACCATCGGAAAACTGTGCCAAGCAATTTTGTCACTAAGATACCAGCTCCACCAGATGCTTTGCAGAGAAGGAGGGGCAATCAGATCCGATTTTACGGTACACACACACACACACACACACACACACAATACTAATAAAAAAGATACCAGCTCCCTGATTTAAAGTTAGAAGAATGCAACCAATTGCAACGGACCAAACCATAGCCACAGGTCCATTTCTTGGTATAGAGGCAGGATATATCCCTGATGCACTCCTTTCCTGACTTTGAACCATGCAGTGTTCCCTTGCTCTGTTCTGACAACTGCTTCCTGGTCCAAGTATAGGTTTCACATGATCACAATCAGGTGTTCTGGGATTCCTGTTCTTCTCAAGGTTAGCCACAATTTGTTGTGGTCCACATGGTCAAATGCCTTTGTATAGTCAATGAAACACACAGACATTCCTCTGACACTCTGTTTTCAGCCAAGATTCATCTGACATTGGCTGTGATGTCCTTAGTGTGTTTGACTATATGGATATTAGCAAATTAAGGATATTATGAAGATTTCCAGTTACTAGCTATGCATCTGAGAGCTGGACAATGAATAAGGATGACAGAAAAAGAATTAATACCTTTGAGCTGTGGTGTTGGAGAAGAGCACTGAACATCCCATGACAGCCAGGAGAAAAGATATGTCTTGGAGAGAGAGTACAGCTGGAGTGTTCTTTGGAGGCAAGAATGATGAAGCTTCATCTCACATACATTGGGTATGTTGTCAGGAAGTGTAAGGATGGCACAGCATAAAACAGGGTTCAGGTCTTTTGTTCATAGGGTCGCTATTCATACTCAACGGCAACTAACAACAACAAAATTACGAAGAATGGGAATGCTTGAACACTTAATTGTGCTCATGTGGCACTTGTACATAGACCAAGAAGCAGTCATTTGAACAGAAAAACGGGAATACTGCATGGTTTAAAATCAGGAATCATGTGCATCAAGATAATTCAACAGGAAGCAATGTAACATAAACATAACTTTAATATGCACTGTTGTTATGTGCTGCCAAATTGGAACAGGCTTAGCTGACTCTCCAGTTGCTTTTCAGAGGCTGTTAATTGCACCGACTGAGACAATCTTTCTCCCTCTGAGCAGCTAGCTAGTGGCTTCAAACCTTTATATACACTGGGAAACAAAAAAATTCTTGTGATTTACTTAATCCCAGTTAATTATTCCCTATTCCTGTGACCTGGAGCCAAGCCTGCAGTATCTCTTAAGTATGACTATACTTATTGTGTGATTTCCTACCAAATGCTAAACCCTAAAAGCACCCACTGTGAGGGAGCTATGGAGGCTTAAACCCTAGGGAGATGTGCTGCTAACCCAAAGGATCTCCCTGGAGTTTCTAATCTACCAATCGTTGAGAGAGAGACAGAGAGACAGACAGAGACAGAGAGAGGTAATTTCTACTAGGTGAGGTCTACACTCTCCAGAAAACTCACTATAGCGTCACGCATGCATACCGTCCTCCTACTTGATGGCAATGAGTTATTTGAGTTACCCATGAAGTGGATTCCAACCCTGTAAGACTGAGCCCCCATAAGGTTTTTGAGGCTGTTTTTAACTGATTTTGGTCAAACATTCCTTTAGGTTGTATAGCCCTCGTGCGTGATTGCTGTGATGCTGAACACTGTTGACACTGTCCGTGGTGGACAGTGTTTGGTGGAGCTCCCCAATTAAAATAAGTTTGGACGTAGGAGTGGCATCCACTTCCGAAATAGCTTGCCTCCGGAAACCCTATGAGCCTGGAGAAAGGATGAAAGTTACACAAATGTTCAGGTCTTTCATAGGGTCACTATGAGTCGCCTATGACTCGATGGCACTTAACAACAATCTTGACAGAAGAGGACTTCTACAACTTTCTCCCCCAGAGCGATGGGTTCAAAATGCCCATTTTCAGCTAGCAGCGCTTTGATCACTGCGCACTGGGCCCCTCAGATCAAAGTCTTTGCAATATTTGAGACATCAAGGCTTGTGTATCCAAAAATGTAAATCTAATTGGGACTATAGAAGTTCATCGGACAATTTCCGCTCCTAAAGTCGTGGGTTGAAGTCTTGGAAGACTACCGAGACCACCGAGCGAGAGGACCAAGGTACATAACACCTAGCAATCAAAGCGCCCTCGCCGCTCTAGCCAGTATCTCGTTGACGGAAAAGCAGTTACGTGTACTTCCGGTGGGCGGGGCGTGTGTTGGGCGGTGCGGTGACGTACGAGGAAGGGGCGGACCCGCCGGAAGTCAGACGGTGCTGCGCCTCGCCGCGCCGGCTCGGAGGTAGTTGGAACCTGGTCATGGCGGCGGCGGCAACGGCGGGCGCTGAGGGGCAGCGCGGGGTCCTGGAAGCGGTGGCGGCGCCCGAACGGGGCGGCGGGAGTTGCGTGCTGTGCTGCGGCGATCTAGAGGCCACCGCGCTGGGCCGCTGCGACCACCCGGTGTGCTACCGCTGTTCCACCAAGATGCGGGTGCTGTGCGAGCAGCGCTACTGCGCTGTGTGCCGCGAGGAACTGCGCCAGGTGAGGCGAGTCGCGCGGCCGCGGCGCCAGGAGGGCACAGGGGGCGCGGTGACGGGACAACCGGAAGGGGACTCTGTCTTCCTAATGTCCGGCCACGGGCTTAGGTGGCCCCGGCTTCCAAATCGGAGGCCTGGCAGGGCCCTCCAGGGCGGAGGCCAGACACTGGGACAAGGCGGTTGGAGGTGGCTGAACTGAGATGAGGGAGTGGTGGTTTTGGGCACAGAGCCTGGGGACCGTCCCTCTCCGCCCTGGGAATTCTTGCCTGGCCACAGGAAGTGGCAGATCCAAGCAACTCTTTTCTTTGGGGACTTTTGGGGTGGAGGGGGGAGGGTGCAGGACGACGGAGAAGCGCCTGAGACATTCCGCCCTGGAAGGAGCTCCCGCTTGTTCCTGGGACCCACTGGGTGACCCCGAGCCAACTCCTCAGACTAGCTGTTCCTGTGTTAAGCAAGGGTGACTCTCAGACGTCCCCATCAGAGCAGGTGGCAGTTGGCAGAGGCTTTGGTCTTTGGTGCTGGGAGGGTGTCGATCAGCATACTATTGGGACTTTTAAGCCCTGGGCGGGTCAGAGGGCAACAGGGAGTGTCTCTTGCACCCTCCCAGAGATGATGCCAGCTGCTGGCTCTGGACACCACGTCCGAATTCCTCACTTTGTGGTACTTAGAGATCTGTTTGTCCCAGTGTTTTGAAATCCTGGATGGTTCATGGGAAGCATCACCAATAATATCTGCCGGGGTGTCTGCCTTTCTCTTCCTGGAAGACAGAGAAGGCTGCTCCTTGCTCAAAAAGTAGCTTAAAGATCAGAAGGTGGTTTTCCTAGGGTGAGGCTTATCCGTTGCAATCGGGTTGTGCTGACCCCAGTGGTTTCCCAAATGTGGGAACTGTGTTTGCGCTCTCCTCTGTTTAAAAACAAAGTATGCTGTGAATTCTTAACTTCTTCCTGGGCATCTACACTGTGCCCAGGGGACAAAGGACTCAAATTGCTGCCAGCTTGGATTGAGGTGGAGGGGCTCCACACATGGGCAGAATGGGCTTGTGGTTTACTCAGAAGCACCCCCCACACTTTGTGGGAGCTTACCAAGCATCCACATTTGTATATCTGTAATTTTGTTCCACAAATTTAGGGGCACCATGGAGGTCTTTATGGGTCAGTCTTGCCCTGTACACTCACCTGTGTGTCACCAGCCTCTGTCACCTCCCGTGGGCCCCTCCTCCAGAGCTATGTGGCAAGGGGGTGTGGGTATGAACTGGCCGAGGAGTGGACAGTGAGCTGGCTGGGGCGTGGCTTGGCACCAGTACTCCAGAGCCTGGGCCTCCTCCTAGGCCTGCCCTAAGTTGCTTGGCCTAAGGAGGGCAGGCCAGGAAGTCTGCCCCCCTGCTCTCCAGCCCACTCTCCAGATAGCGCATTCACTTGCCTTTTGTGTTGTTAAGTGCACTGTTTGGCTCTGTCCTGACACAACAAGCTCCTGCCCCACTATGTATGCTTTGCCTAGCAGATTAGGTCCTGGTGTAAACTGGGAGGGATGTGGGCCAGGATGCTGTGGGGCAGAGGTTGAGCTTTGAAGGTAGTCAGTTCAGGACATCCTGGCCCTAGTAGGCCTGAAGGGTGGCTGGGAATGAACACCTTGTAGCATGCAAGACCAGCTAGAGTCTGGTCCATCTTACTCGCTTGGCAGTGCTCTGGTGGAGCAGAGGCACTAGCACTGGTTCCTCTTCTCTGGGGTGTTTCTCCCACAGATGGTGGTGGGATCTTGGGGCCTCATTGGGCTACCACCTGAAATGCCATGTGTCTAAATTGGTAGGGGTGCCTGGAATTCCCCCGCCTCCTTGCAATTTTAGTCCATTTCATAGGCAAAGAAGTGGATGTCCCATCATACCCCTAAGCAGGAACTGGCTTCCTAAAGCACCCTCAGTCCTGCCCCATCTTGCTCCCAGTGCCTGAACTCTCTGAGAGTTATTCTGTCCCCTAGAGCACCTTCCCTCGAGCTCTGACTCACCCCATGGTGTCCCACTTCATCCTTATGTCCCTGTCTACCTCACGTGCCTGTCTTTACTCCAGTTATTCTCACCCCAATTCTTTCACTCGATTATTACTCTCTTTTGCCTTTGAGGGTGGAATGGGAGCAGTGTCCAGGACCTGGTGGCTGCTGGCAAAGGGAACAGGCACCATTAGTGACTCAGGTCTGACCAGAGGCTTAGGTGCAGATTCCTCTGGGGATGGGCACTCCTCTGCACTGAGTCGCCAGGCTGCAGGCTTTTGGCAGCCTAGGGAGTGCCCCCTGCATATTTGTCTGCTGATGGCTGACTGACACAGGCCCCAAGTCGTCTGGCTAGCACGGGCCTCAAGCCTGCTGCCTGTGTGGCTTCTGGAGGTGGGGTGTGGCTAGTGCTGCACAGTTCCTGGGCTTGGCCTACCAGGAGCAGTGGTGGGTCTCTGCTCAGAAGGCACTGTGGGCCTGTCAAAGGCAGGACCAGGCAGAGGTCACCCACCCAGAGGGCTGATCTTCTTGCGGGGCTGGGGGGCAGGAAGAAAGGAAGTCAGGAGGGGCACCTGGCGGCCATGCACATTGGCCAGTAGTAACTCTGAGGAGTGTCAACTTCTGTTGGAAAATATATCGAGGAAGGGGCCCTGGTGGCACAGGGAGTAACCATTGGTTGTTAACAAAAAGATCAGTGATTCAAACCCACCATTCAACAAGAGAAGGACAGCAGTTTTCCTCTATAAAGATTTGTAGCCTTGGAAACCCTATGTACAAGGCAGTTCAGCTCTGCCCTACAGAGTCACTGAGAGTTGGAATTGGCTTGAAGGGAGTGGGGTTTCACTGGACTGGGCCTGTGATGTGTTCACTGGGCATAGTGGACGGAGTGGGCAGAGACTGACATTCACCCCTCCAGCCTCACCAGGCGTGACGGTAACGGAGAAGGCAGGCTTATGGGGGCTACTTATCTAGACCCACCTACGCTGTGAACATGGCTGGGTTTACCCTTTGTCCTTGGTTACTAGGATACTTTTCCCAAAGGCATCAGAAGAGGGTGCTCCCCAAGTGTCCCAAGCACAGTCCTGGCTCTCCCTGGCGAGTCCTGGTCCTTCTGACTCAGTGGTTTCCAGAGCTGTACCCCATATGTGCTTGTGCAGCCTCCAAACTGACTAGGCTGGGGGAACAGTGGAATGGGGGTGTGGGACAGAGAGCCAGACCTGGGACTGAAGAAGAGGAAGCAGCAGCCAAGTGGGCTGGGAGGGTTGGCCCCTTGAGGTACTGGTAAGGGGTCAGGAGAACAGGGCTAACCAGTGGGACCTCACCCAGAGCTCCTGCAAGAGGGTTAGGGCACCCTACCCTGTGGATGCTGTAGAACCCTGGGATGTGAGCTGGGGCCAGCACCAAGGCCTATAAACAGCTCTTTCCTTTGGGCAGAAAGTTGAGGGAGGGCATGAGAACTAGACAGAGGGCTTCTGGATGGTCTCCCGAGAGCATTTGTCTGTCGTGCAGTGCCCTAATATGAGTCCTAGTATGCTAAGACACCCAAGAAGACCTTTGTTTAGGGTTAGGGTGCTGGTTTAGAAGCCTGCACAGTGGCCTGCCTGCTCTAGACAGAATTCTTAGGCTCCCAGTCACTGTCCCATAGATGTGAGGGCCTTGAACTTGTATTTCACCTAACAGGGCTGCTGGGGCCTGCCTGGATCTGAGCGAGTGCAGAGTAACTCTGAGACAGTGATTAGGCAGAGCCCCCTTGCTCAGACCCATCACCTCCAGGTGCTAGCTCCAGTCCAGGCTACAGCAGGCCCCTAGGGCCACCTTGGGACATGGCCTGGCCACCCCCTGGTGGTGAGGCTGGGCATTGTGTCTGTTTGCCCCAAAGTCTCCAGGTCCGCTGGGCTGAGGATAGGAGGCCCGGTCTAGAGGTCCCAGCTCCAGTCCTCCCTCACTCTCGCAATGACAGCCACCTTCCTGCTCAGCCTCCACGTCCCCGCTCATCGTCCCCTCGCCTCCCGCCCAGGTGGTCTTCGGGAAGAAGCTCCCGGCCTTTGCCACCATCCCCCTTCACCAGCTGCAGCACGAGAAGAAATACGACATCTACTTTGCCGATGGAAAAGTGTTTGCATTGTATAGGTGAGGAGGATGCCCTTGGCCTCCCATGGGTGGGTACCACTTGTGTCCTCTTAGGCCAGGTAGGGGACAAGGCTGAATGGTGAGCTGGGGGGTTGGGGGGTTGTGGCTTTCTACCCTTCTCAGGTCAGTGTCCTTGTCTGTCAGTGAGGCGACAGGAAGGTGACATGGATGAGCTGGGAGAGCCTGTTGTGGGGCATAGCATATCCAGAGAGCACCTTTCGGTGCCCTGCTGCCACAGCTCCAGGCTGCAGTCCCCAGGCCCTCACTGTTCTGACCCCTGGTCCTGGCGGGTGCTCTCTCAAGCCCTGCGCAGCCCCGGGGTCCGATTCTGAGATGGAAGCTTGGTGCTGACAACTGCAGGCTGATGGGGTCCCATGTCCCCAGGCAGCTGCTGCAGCACGAGTGCCCACGTTGCCCAGCGCTGCCACCCTTTGGGCTTTTTGGGGACCTGGAGCAGCACATGCGCAGGCAGCACGAGCTCTTCTGCTGCAAGCTTTGTCTCAAGCACCTCAAGGTGAGTGAGCCTCGAGTCCTGGGGGGTAGACATTCTCATTCCTGGTGGTGGGTACAGGGCGAGGGTGTGGCCTTATCCCAGGGACGAGAGAGGTGGAATGGTTGGACCAGAACTGGCTGCTGGGCAGATCGACGAGGTTATGGAACCTTCCTGGGGCTTGTGGTGACCCTGTGTCCCCTGCTTCTGGCCCAGGGTCCAGGGAGGTGGTGATGGTTACCCTATATCATTGCTTCCTGACTCAGCGCCTGGGTGGTAGGCTGTGGTGGTGCCTAGTGTTCTCAGTACTCAGCCCAGGGACAGCCCTGAGTAGGGGAGGTGGTAGTGGACTCTATCTTGGCTTCCAGCCCCATCTGGGGTGGAAAAGTGGTGGTGGGCTCATTTCCTGGCGTCATAGTACCACTTGGTAGGCTGTGTATCCTTGCTTCTCACCCCAGAGAAAACTCCGGCAGTGGTGTGTTTGTGGGAGGCTTTGGCCTCTGGGTGAGGGAGGCAGGCTGTGGCAGGTCTCTGACGGGGAGGATCCAAGATGACCTTGGAATTGGGCAGCAGAGGAGGCTAGCTCCCACAGCAGCCCATTTCCCATCACACATCCTGTTGTGAGGGCCCCCATTCTGAGCTCTCCCATGTGGCTGACAGCACCCAGAGCACATGGCCTGACTGGTGTGGGGGCCTCAGGGTTACTTGCCATCCTAGCCCCCTCTGCCACCCACCACGCACCAGGAGCTTGTCCCGAGCCTACTCCTCCCTGCAGATCTTCACCCATGAGCGCAAGTGGTACTCGCGCAAGGACCTGGCCCGCCACCGCATGCAGGGGGACCCAGATGACACGTCGCACCGTGGCCACCCGCTCTGCAAGTTCTGTGATGAGCGCTATCTGGACAATGATGAGCTTCTCAAGCACTTGCGTCGCGACCACTACTTCTGCCACTTCTGTGACACCGAGGGTGCCCAGGATTACTACAGGTGGGGACCGGGAGGCAGGGCCACTGCGGGGGGTGGGGGTAGGGGTGTGTGTGTGTGTGTGTGTGAGAGAGAGAGAGAGAGAGAGAGAAAGAGAGAGTGAGTGTGTGAGAGAGTGTGTGAGCATCCAGGACTGAACACTAGGGCTCTTGCTCCACCTGATTATCAGGATGGTCCAGGGTGGAGGCATGTAACCACCTGCCTATCCTATGGTGACCCCTACTGCCTTGGCAAGCACACCCACTGACCCTTACCCCTGTGACAAGTACCTCATTGACTCTTAACCCCCATGATGCTAACCCCTGTGGCGAGCATCCAATTGACCCCTGCCTACCTGCCCACAGTGACTATACTTACCTGCGCGAGCACTTCCGGGAGAAGCACTTCCTGTGTGAGGAGGGCCGCTGCAGCACAGAGCAGTTCACCCATGCCTTCCGTACAGAAATTGACCTCAAGGCCCACCGCACTGCCTGCCACAGCCGCAGCCGTGCGGAGGCCCGGCAGAACCGCCACATCGACCTGCAGTTCAGCTATGCCCCTCGTCACCAGCGCCGGGGCGAGGGTGAGCAACTGGCCTGCCCTTGCACATGTGACACACCTCATGGCCTCTGTTCTAGCTGGGCTAGGCTCTTGAGTCCCCATGGTTCCTTCCCAGGTCAGGAAACATTGAGTACCCAGTGTGTGCAGACATGGCCAGGGGTCCTGATTCGAGTACCATGGGATCACCCCATGTGCAGATGTGGCCATGGCTCTGAGCTGAGTCCCACGGGTTCATTCCATGTGCACAGTTGGTTGGAGGCCTCTTATCTGCGTCCCATGGGTTCATCCTACATGCACACTGGTTGGGGAGCTCTGAGCTGAGTCTCATGGGTTCACCCCACATGTAGACCTGGTCGGGGTCTCTGAGCCGAGTCCCATGGGTTCACCCTATATGCAAGCCTGGTCGGGGGCCCTGAGCTGAGTGCTAGTGGTTTCTACTCTGTAGGGAGGCAGGCCAGCCCTGGAGGCCTGCTTCCTTTGGTCCCGGTGGTAAATGACCTATGCTGGCCACAGGTGTCATTAGTGGTGAGGATTATGAGGAGGTGGACAGATACAACCGCCAGGGCCGCCCAGGCCGAGCCGGAGCACGTGGAGCCCAGCAGAGCCGCCACGGAAGCTGGAGGTACAAGAGGTGGGAGGCCTTCTTGCTGCTGACCTTCTCCCAGCATTGGTGCTCTAAGGCTATGAATGAGGCTGGCAGCTGGGCTGGGTACAGGCAGGGGTTCAGGGCACCTGGCCTGGCTTTGGAACATGCTCATCTTCGGAGATGGCAGGACACTTCCTAAAAACCTGGGCAGCCTATAGGGTTTGGGTGGGTGAGAAGTACCTCCTGGCAGGGTAGGTGTGTGAGGTGAGCCATGAAGGTGCCAGCCATGGCCCAGGCTGTCCCCTTAGCCAGCCGGATTGGGGGTGAGCCACTGAACCCAACAAAAGCATCCCCAACCCCAGAGAAGAAGAGGACCGGGATGTGGCAGCAGCCATTCAGGCCTCGGTGGCCACACAGCAGCAGGAAGAGAAGCGTAGGAACGAGGACCACGACGATGCTAAGGAAGAGACAGGAGGTAGGGTATTCGAGGAGCCCCAAAGTGCATGGCGCCCACTTCGAGACCACTGTGAAGGCCCAGGTGAGTGGCCTCTTGGGCTCTGACCTGCAGGGCATCCAAGCCATAGCCCCACCTGGTGAGGGCCAGCTTCCTGGGCCTGAGGGTGGAGTCATGTTCTACCCTGACCCTGGCCAGTAATCAGAGGTTTCTTCTCCCATAGGCACCAAGGAAGCATCATCCAATGGTCCCATGAGCCAAGAGGCTTTCTCTGCCTCAGGCCAAGCCACAGTGGTCCCACCTTCAAGGTTTGTGTTGTGTTTGCTATGGACATATGTTTCTTTTTCTGTTTGTGTAGGGGGTGGGGGTGGAGCTGGGTAGGGGGCAGGAGGTCTGCAGCTGCTGATGGCTCACCCCACCCCCTTAGCTCCCTGCCACCCTTGCCGAAGCTCAAGGACGAGGACTTCCCCAGCTTGTCCTCCGGCCAGGCGTTGACTGCCACTGGCCCTGTGGGGCTGGCACTGGCATATCCTGTTCCCACCAGGGCCAGGGGTGCCTTCCAGGAAGAGGACTTCCCTGCCTTGGTGTCCTCAGGGTCTCGGTTCAGTGCTGTCTCTACCAGTATCATTTCTGCCTGGAACAGCAGCAAGAAGGTGGCCCAGCCTGCATCAGGGACCCAGGTTGCCAGAGCAGGCTTGTCTGCCAGGAAGTCTGGAAAGGGGAGTGGCAAAGGCGGCCGGAAGGGTGGGCAGGCCCCCACTGAGGAGCAGGAGGTGACCCTGCCTGAGCAGCACAGCTCACCTGCTGCGGCCCCTGCTCCCTCCCTGCTGGTGCTGTCCTCCCACACCGTTACCAAAGGTGGCCGGAAGAAGAAAGTCGGTTCTGAAAAGCCCCGGGCCACATCACCTCAATCCCCTGAACGTATCCCAAAGGCACCAGACAAAGTTGGGCCACCTGGGGTTCAGCAGCATCCTGCCAGCAGAGTCGAGGTGTCAGCCACTGGCCTTCTCAATGGACATGTGGAGGAGGTGGGCATGCCACATATTGCCCCTAAGGAGCCCCCTGGGCTCCCTCGGCCACCAGGGCCCCTGCCTTGCCCTGCATCCCAGGAGGACTTCCCAGCACTCAGCCCCTGCCCGCCCAGGATGCTGCCACCCCCAGGTATGTGTGCTAGGAAAGAGGTGTCCCCATACATAGGCAGGGCAGGTGAGCAGCCCTACGCACCCCCAGTTGCTCTACAGCTGTCTCCTTGACTTGTAATCCTTGTTGGTGGGAGCACTGAGGGTTTAGGTGAGAGCTCAGAATCAGGCTGACGCGGGGAGCCATGCCTGTATGCTAACTCATGTCCCCAGCAGCTTTGGCTTGGGGGCAGCTATGGGCAGGAGGATCGGCCCTCGTGGGGTTAACGAGGTGGCTCAGTAGGATACATGACCTGCATGCTGATTTTCGAACCTGGCAGCCCCAAGCCAGCCAGGATCATGTCCAGGATCTCACTCTGCCATCTCCCACAGGGTTTAACACTGTAGTGCTGCCAAAGGGTGCTCCACCCCCACCGGGGCTGGCCCCCCCTGTGAGCAAACCACCCCCTGGTTTCTCCAGCCTCCTGCCTGGCTCCCAGCCAGCCAGTGTACCTAGCACCACCACGAAAGTGTAAGTGTGAATGGGTTACCTGGCCAAGGGTTCCCCTACCTCAGGCCACCCTAAGTGCTAAGCCACTACATTCTCTTGACCAGGCCCAGGCCAATGCCCTCCCCGTCCCAGGTCTACCTGGTCCCTGAGAACTTCCGGGAGAGGAACCTGCAGCTGATCCAGTCCATCAAAGACTTCCTGCAGAGCGACGAGGCTCGCTTCCAGAAGTTTAAGAGTCACTCGGGGGAGTTCAGACAGGTCAGGGGTGTGGGAGGTGGGGGCTCAGCCACTTGACCTGGGAACCCTGGGGCAAAGTGTGATGTCATGCTCTGCTGGCAGGGCATCATCTCTGCGGCCCAGTACTACAAGAGCTGCCGGGACCTGCTTGGAGAGAGCTTCCAGAAGATCTTCAAGGAGTTACTGGTGCTCCTCCCTGACACAGCAAAGCAGCAGGAGCTGCTCTTGGCACATGCAGACTTCCGCAGCCATGAGAGGCCCCTGGGGGCCAAGTCCAAGAAGAGCAAGAAGAGCGTGTGGCAAGCCAGCACGCCCACTGCAGGCCTAGACTGCTGTGTGTGCCCCACCTGCCACCAGGTGCTAGCCCAGGGTGACCTCAGCAGTCACCAGGCACTGCATACTGCCCAGGATGACGACTTCCCCTCCCTGCAGGCCATCACAAGGGTCATCACGTAGCTGCTGCCACACTGTGAGCCTCTGCTCGCCGTCCTCTTGGCCCTGCTGGGCCACCAGAGAGGCCGCTGGCTCACCAGCATATGGCCAGGCAGGAGTACCCCGGGGCTCCCTGTCTCAGTGGAATTGTTGGTTTGGATTCTCTTGATGGCAAGGTGTGGGATGTGAGTGCGAGCCCCAGCAGGCCCAGCCGAGCCTTCCTGAGTTGTGGACTGCAGCCCCCTAGAGCAGATGCTGTGGGTTCCCGGGGGTCAGGACCTTATGTTCAGCGTGTTGTGTAACAGTTGGCTGTTCCACCGTTTGAGAGCATTCAGGACTAAAAGCAGGCGTAAAATTGTACTACTTGAAATCAAATGTTTTTTGAAAAAAGCTGAATCTGGCATCTCAAATTGCCTCTGATCTTTTATAAGACAGTTTATCTTATAAAAAAATAAATTTATTTTTCAATACACTATTCAGCTGGGTCCTAGCTTCTCTGTTGTGGGGCGCTTCAGCTCCAGTGTTAACTGTGCCCCCTCTGGGGCAGCTCACAGGAAGAGGCCTTCCAGGAATGGACATCCTGGAAAAACTTTAAGCTTTCCAAACCTGAACTTGCTGCTAGTGAATCAGTGCCAGTTCGGTGACCTTTTGGACACAGGAGGTTCTCACAGCTGTATATCTTTGGGAATAAACTACCACCTTTCTCCAGAAAAACTGAGATACTGGTGAGTTTGAACTACCAGCCACGCATTTGATCATTGTTCTTCAAGGGCTTCAGTGCCTTCCTGGCAAAGGACATAGGTCTAAGCATCTGGAGATGAAGATCTGTACCCTGGGGTGTCCAAGTACAACCTTACCTCATCATTCTCTGTTAGGTATACACATTGAAAGTTTGTGGGGACCCTGCATCGAGCCAGTGTATGGCCTTCTTCCCAACAGCAGGTGCTCACTCTGTCTCTATCTCTTCCATTGTGATCATTTTTTCAATACATCAAACATGTTCATATAGCAGTTGCACACTCAACTAACTCAGCTACCCTTGAGATAATTCCGGCTCACAGGACCCTCCGTTGGGTTTCTGAGGTTGAAAATCTTTATTGGAGGGAAGCTGTTCTGTTTCCCATGGTAGACTTAAACTGCTTATCTTTTTTAATGCAGCCTAACCCGCTCCGCCACCGACTCTAGTCTGGAATAAACATAGCTTCTATGTGAACTGGGAAAGTAATTGTGGGACTAGCTGTACCATGATCTTTGCTCTATTGTGGTGGTCTAGGACTGAGCCTGATATAGTCCCACGCTGCCTGTACTTAACGAAGGCATGAGGACTGTGGTGGTCATGGAGTACTTGATTCATGTCAAGCACCATGTCTAGGGCTCCACACATGTTCATTCGTGTCATCCTCACTTCCACACTCATGACGAGCTGTCCTTCTGTAGAAGGGAATGGCAAAATGACTAAGCCAGAAAATTAAATTAGCATTCCAGCTGTGTACGCCATACTGTGCTTCACTGAACCAGGAGGCCATGAGGTTAGACTGGGAATCAGCTTCTAGCCAAATGATAGGCCTATAAGGTGATGAGTAACACAAGGAAGCAAGGTACCCTTAAGACAACCAGCCATATGAGACCAAAAGGTCCAGGGGAAAAGCTCAGAAGGCAAGAACAGATGAGTGGAAAGAGGAAACACAGGACAAAGGGAAGAGTGCTGCTATATTGGGATTGTAATTAAATGTCATCAAACAAAAAAATGTGGATAAACTAGAATGAGGCCAATTTGCTCTGTAAACTTTTATCCAAACCACAATAAAATGTTTAAAAAGAACCAATTAGAAACCAATCAAAGGCTACTGCCATTGAGTTGATTCTGACTCAGGATTCTTGACTGGATTTGCAAGGAGGAGATGGTCTTTTTTGCCTCAGAGGAATGGTTAGTGTGTCCAAACTGCCAGACCTTTTGATTAGCACTTAACCTACTGCCCCACCAAGGGCTCCTTAATCAAATGCAAAGCAGGATCATTTTTTTCAACCACAAATTTCAAATCCACACTTGAGAAAAATCTGCAAAATTATAACCATAAGAGTATATAGATCACCTACAAAGATTTCTATTGTTCCTGGGGCACAAAGCATGCAGCCAAGCCAAAGACCTAATTTTCTCTGGCCATGGGACTGAAACAAGCCTGTGACCCCATGAAAGTAGTTAATGAATTTCTTGGTTCACCTCTAAAGAGCTCTGGTGTCATGGTGTGTTCTGTGCTGGACTGCCAATTTCATAAGTCTCTTAGAGAAGAAGGGCAGACACCTGCAGTGAAGATTTATGCCCTGGAAAACCTGATAGAGGTCCTATGGGCTAGCAGTGGATTTACTGTTGGGGTTTACAGTCTCACTCCTAGACTGTCCACCTGGTGGTGCACATGCTGGCTTGCTCTGAATGGTCCCAGTTAAGCCTGACAACAGAATTGACTTCTGGTTTACAGCCCTCAGAATGCCAACTGCAGGACCTTGTGGTATGAGAACAAACCTGCTGCCATCTAGTTGATGATGCCAAGTCTTAGTGACTTTACAGCTCAGAGGTCCCCATAATGTCCAAAGCTCTAAATCATTATGGAAGCTGCCTCCACAAGAGGGATTGACAGAGCTACTAGAACACTCTGCTCCAGAACATCTGAGATCATGCAGATGACACAGGATAGGCAAGAGTCTATTGTTCATAATGTCGCTATGAGTTTGTGGTCAACTAGACGGCATCTAAGAATGACAGTAATGGGTTCCAATTGCTAGCTTTTGGGTTAACAACTGAGGGCTTAATCACTGAGCCACTAATGCTCCTTAACCTGCTGGTACAAAAATACCAATATTCTCCACAGAATTCAAACTCTTTTGTTGTTAGGTGCTACCAGGTCAGCTCGGACACACTGGTGACCCTGTGTGCAAAAGAATGAAATCCGTCCCACCATCTTCACAAATCACTGTCACAGGGTCAAACCTCTTTGAACCCTCTGCTTTTCCAAGCATGTGTTTTCCAGACTGGACCCTCTTGACAACATGGTATTTGTTCTTTTGGCAACACAGGATACAATAAAAACTAACCTGGCATACAAAGTACCAGCAATAGCTCAAAAGACAGACAAAACAGATACCAGAGCCCAAGAAGCACACTTAGATTGTTAAACAGAAAAAATCTTGCCATTATAAATGAGTAAAGGGAAGTGGAGGTCCTCCCAGAATCCCAGATGGACTACCATAACGTATGGCTGGGGCCTCTCAAACTTGTGTCCATGTGGACTCTTCTTATTGGAGTCCCAGAACCTGGGAGTCTACCTAATCTCTATCTCTGTCCCACCACCAGGTTATTGCCCCTTCTAGGCTCATGTTCCCCTGGCACGGGTAGGCAGGGATCGAAACACAATTCTAGAAGTGTCCAAGACATGGTTATACTCATTTCCAGTCTTTATTGTAAAGAAGGTGCATTGGGGACATGGGACACTGAAAATACACAATCACGGATTGTTCTTTCAGAAGTGGCAGGATAGAGATCTCTATATACAAAAGTTGTAAACATGTTCACAGAATTAACACACATGATTGATGGTCTATGCTACAAGGTATGGGGTTGTCACTCCACCATAACTCCAGAGGGAGACATCTGTCTGCAGGAATGAAAGGTGGTGACCACATTTGGTATTGAGAGAAAATGTGAAAAGCCAGCTTCAAGCAATGTATGAGTAGTCAGCTACACATGGGGACCCCCCCCAGCCTCTGACTGGACCTCTGAACAGGGGTGCAGGGTTGGAGGACTGGGCTGGGAAGTGAAGATAAGGTTTGCATGGAATAGCCGTCCCCATGGACATAGTGGGCAGATGGAATCTTGATGCCCCTTTCATGGACTGGGTTTTGTTTTACCAGGTACCCATATGTCCTCTGCCTCCTTTGGGCTGGGACAGGGCTGGTGCCCACCAAGCCTACAGCCATCCGGTGCCTTCTGGGTCAGAATTGCCCATACCTGGGCAGGGGCCTGGGCCAAGGCAGATAGGGGCGACAGCAGGGCCACGGACAGGGGGTAGCTTGCGGGAAACTGAGGAGGGGGATTTGACCACAATCACAACACCAAGAGGGCTGAGGCTGCTCTAAGAAGCCCATGTGACTAAGTGGGAAGGTGCTCTGGACAGAGCATGCTGCCCAACAGGACAAGTCACTACTACAAGAAGGACAGGTATGACCCATGGGGGTGATAGACGCAACCCCCAGGCTACATGGTTGGGATTGGGCTGTGTCTCTGCCCTTGGTCCCAGCAGCCCTGCACCAGCTGTAGATGACAGCGGGCCCCCTGGTCTCAGGGTGGGCAGTTGGACCCCAGGCTGGCTAGACCAGGAGGGGAGAAGGCGCCTTGGCTGCCTATTTAGCTTCAGGATACCACATCCTGGGCCTGCTGACCTCAGGACATTAGGTCCAGGGTCAGGGATTGAGGGAACTTGGGGTGGACAGCCCAAGCACCCCAAGGGTCACCTCCTCCTGGCCCGGGTCAGCCCACACTGGTCCCCTGTGTCCCTGGCTCTGGACCAGGAGGACTCGAAGGTGGTTCTGGAGAGGCCTCTGGGACTGCCTTTATGGGGCTATCTTTGCCCACTAGTAGGCAGGCACCTGGTATCCTTTGGGGCTGGTGGCCAGGGTCTCGGTGAAAGGCGGGCTCTGGTAGGTCTCGGTACCCTCCACACCGCTGCCCACCGGGTAGCCGGGGTAGGCCTGGCCCGCCCCTGTGCCCAGCTGCTCGGTGGCGAAGAGAGACATGTCGGTGCCCAGGCGGAACCGCTGGAGGGCCTTGACGGTGAGCGCCACCTGAGAGGGAGCCCGGGGTCAGCCGACCGGGTGAGCCTGGACCGACCACCCGTCGGGCCACCCACCCGCGAGCGCACTCACCCAGCTGAGAATGGAGAAGAAGCTGAAGGCGATGGCAGAGCGGGCTGCGTCTCCTGCCTGCGCTGTGCCCGGCCCGGGCGCCGTGCGCTGCCACTGGTTGGTGAGGAAGCAGAAACCCACGAACCACAGGAAGGACCAGAGCCCTGCGGTCAGAGGGGCAGTGCAGGTCAGCTTCCGAGACCCACGGGGAGCCTTCACGCGCGGCTCCTCGTTTGCCCTCTGACCTGTGCCCAGTCCTGGAGCCAAACCCCTGCTACTGGACCCGAGCCTCGCGCCTGATTCTAAGCCTGCGGACTGCCGGGGACGTCCCTCCCATTTTCCGGGCATGGTTGTACCCCCTAAGCACGCTTTCCACTGACCACGCCTTTCACTCAGTTCTCTTCGTTCCCAAGCCACCCCCTCCCTCCCGTCAGTCCCGCCCACCACGGGTATTATGATCACTATCAAGCTCCTTCTCTCAGCCCCGCCTACCAGGCTCCACCCTCCAGGAGGACCTGGCCCAGGGGGACACCTTACTGGGGGGGAGGCCTCACCGCTCTCTGTTCACGGGGGTGGGGCACTAGGCCGCCCCAGCCGTCCTGGCTCTTTTGGCCACCCCCTCTAAGGATAGGCCAGCTGTTTCGTCAGCCCCAACCCCCCGCTGTCCCCGCCCCCTTAATCACCCCCTCGCTAAGCAAACAGGCGGCGCCAGACCACGCCCCGATCACGCCCTTTCCATATCTAGCCCCGCCTCCTGTCCCGCCCATCACCTGAGAAGCCTAAATCGAGCAGCACCGCGCGGCGGCGGTCGCGGACGCTGCTGATCTGCTGGAAGCGCAGGTCGAGGAACAGGAAGGCGGCGCAGGCGAGGAAGGCGCCCAGGCCAAGCACCACGCCGAAGCGGCAGGCGCCCGCGTTTCCGTTGAAGACGCAGCGTAGCTCGGGGCCGCTATCCGTGTTCACGTAGCCTTCGTTGACGATGGGTCCAAAGACTGCGATGGAGAACACCTGTGGGCGTCCAAGCAGCACTTAGGGGCCTTGTAGTCCCCTGTGTACCCCACACCTCAGCGCTTTCCCCTGAAGCATGGAGCTCACCTCTGAGTGTGTGAGCGTGTGTCTTTGGACACCCTTCCTTACCTACCCCTGACCCACTGAGTCTGCCCTAAGACCACTAGGGAGCATTGGGTACAATCGAGTTGCTTCGATTCAATCACCTTTTGTTTTTGTACAATATAAAAGGAGGAAACTGGGGCTCCAACAGGTGAAGTGACCTGTCCAGAGTCACTTGGCTAAGTTCAGGAGCTGAGAACTGGGCTTCCTTAGTCACACCACTCAATGTGACATGACAGGATATAGCAGACAGCAGGAAACAGAATCTATGACCCTGTTCTTACTGTGGAGCCTTGGAGACGGGGGTAGGGGGGTGGGGGGTGCAAAGAGTGGAACCCAAAGAGAGTGGTGGAGGAGACAAGGAGAGAAAACAGAAAGGTGAAAGAGACAGGGACACAAACTGGCGTAGAACTGTCCACGAGGCCCATAGCTGTGTGGCTGAAAGCCTAGCAAAGCGAGGAGCCAGCACAGCTTGGGGCGTGTTGGGGGGCAGTGACCTGCTTGCGGTGGTGCTGAAGATGGAAGGTCACTATGTGATCGGGATTGACTGTCCAGACCAAAGAATGTCTGGCCTTTAAAGGCCACCATTGAGCTCTTGGGATCAGTGAGACCCAACTTCCTGTGCCCACTGGGATAGACACGTGAACAAGGACCATGGTCATTTTAAACCCTTTTAGCTTCAGGTAGCCCTCTATTCCCAAGAAAGGGCCACCTCTAATTCATGTCACTCCTTTCCTGCCCCAGCTGGGAGAAGCCGATCCTCACTGAACCAAGGGAAAACTGCGGCACAGAGCATGGGGTGGGGGTCTTCCCTGAGAGGTTTACAAGGTAGGCTCCTGTTTCCTGGTCTGGTCACTGGCTGCATGAGGAAGGCCCAGGCTCCAGCCCCACCCTAGGCTCCACTCTGGTCTCAGGTGCTGCTGCACCCCAGTCTCTCCTCATTCACCTCCCCTCAGCCAGGAGTGGTACAATGAAGGGCCAAGCCAGCTGACCTAGGGACGTCCCTCACACAACACCTTCAGGAAGCTCTCCCATTGCTGCCCCCCTAGGGCTGCCCCACCCAGAAGAAGCTCTAGTGGCCCTCCAACTCACAGCTGCACCTGGGGAGCCTGGGAATAGCGCCCCCCCCCCCCGTATTCTGTGAAAACTTGGATGACAGGGATGCGGGGGGGTAGGGGAGACCCTGTCAGATCAGATCCTGTAGCAGCCCCCTGGGTCTGGGGCTACCGCCAAAGGCCCTATGTAACTCTCACCTCCACCAAGCGTTGAGTCCAGGTGTTGAGGCCTGGATAAAGGCAGGAGGTCTGAGGAAGGGGAACTAGAGCACAGGGGGAAGTCGACAGTGACCTCTCAAGGTCCTGGGCAGTCACCGCCGACCCCTCCCTCGCCTGCAGGTGGGCGCGCCCAGCCCGGTGACGTCACCACAACCTGCAGCCGGGCAGAGGAAGGGCTGGGGCGAGGAGGAGGACGGGGATAAGGGCAGGGGTCCTTAGGGCTGGGGGACCAGGTGACTCACCCAGGACGCCACCCGCAGCAGGGTCTGCGGCCGCCGCGCGAAGCTCACGGGGTCCAGGGCGGCCCCCGCGCGGCCTGCGCCGAAAGAGGCGCCCTCCATGGCCAGTCGAGCCGGGGCGCGCGCCACCGGCGCCTTCTGTCCGTCTGTCTATCCGGCCGGCCCCGCCCGAGGCTGCCCAGGGCTGCTGCTGATGTTGGTGATGCCACAGCCGATGCTGCCACCTCCCGGGAGCGCGCGGGGCGGGCGGGGGCGCGCGGGGCGGGGCCAAGCGCACCCTCCCCCGTCCACGCGTTAGGGTCTGAGCTAGCCCCGCCTTTGGTCCGCCCACCTCACTCAGCGCTTCATGGGGTCCTCAGATGGATGCAGTCTTGGGGAACCCCACCCACCGCTGCCTCTTTGGAGGAAGCGACTGGACCCTTGGTGAAGCAAGGGCCTGGGCTCCCCACAGGGAAAGTCAAGTCAGATGACCTTGGCCTTACTTCTCTCTGAGCAGGCCTTGAGGAGGGTGGGAAAGGGTCCACCACCAATGCCTGAGGAGAGAGGTTCAGGCTTTGCTCTCTGAACCTATCCACCCCAGAGATAAGGAAGGGAGAACTGAAAGGGAAATAACGTGAAAGCGCCTTCCCCAGACATTTAGCCTGTATGGTGGAGCCCCAGTATCTCAGATGCCTTTCTTTTTCTGTCCAAGGCAACAATGAGAAAAACCTGCACCTATTGGCTAGACTTAGTGGTCAGCTGCATAGACTGACAGAGCTGAAAGTACTGATGCTTTTGAGCTGTGGTGCCAGAGAAGTGTTGAACATACCATAGACTGCCAAGAGAACAAACAGATTTACCATCCTGGAGAGGATGAAACCAGGTGCTCCTTGGAGGCAAGATTTTGGAAGCTCTGTCTCACATACTTTAGGCATGTGGCCAGGAGGGACCAGACCCTAGAGAGGGACATGATGATGAGATGGATTGACACAGTAACTGAAGAAATGGGAGTAGGTTTGCTGGTGACAATGAGACTGGCTCAGGATTAGGGCAGGGGGTTTAGAGCTGTTGTACACACAGGGTCGCTATGACTAGCAGGGCACATAACAAGTGGTCTGATAGAGAATGCTGCACCACTGAGACTGGTCCCTAGTCACCCTTCCCGTGGCCCAGCTTTCAGTCAAGCAATGGATGAGGGGAACAGCGCTCACCCTGTAGAACAATCACTCATACAAGATAAAAAGTCCAGCCCTTGTCCTGAGAGAAAGCTCTGAAGGCAGAAAGAGATAGGATAGAGGGATGAAAGGAAACAAGACTCGGAGAGAGTGGGAAGTATGTGGTTAGTGTGGAGATTGTAATTAATGTCATAAAATGGGCATGAACAGTTGAATGGAAAACCAGTCTCCTTTGTATATTTATACTTAACTCAATTTTTTTAAGTTTGCATTTATTTTTAGTGCCTTGAGGCAAGGGTTAAACTTCAGCTGTCTCACATATTTTGGGCATGTTTTAAAAAGGGACCAGTCTCTGGAAAAAGACATCACACTGAGAAAGTGGAGGGTTAGAATAAGAGGGGAAGAATCTCAACAAGATGGATTGACACAGAGACTATGCCAATCGGCTTAAGCACATCAGAGGTGAGAGGATGGTGCATCACCAGCGTTCAGATCTGTTGTTCATAGAGTCACAGTAAGGGTAAGTGCTTGATTCAATGGCACCTAACAACAGTGCCTCACAGTCACCTATGGAGGTCAGGACTGGCAAATAACTCCCTTTCAGTAGATGGGCAAATTCTCTGGCAGGCTGGGTTCCTGGATTGCAATCACATGGCCAGAAAGTACAGCTGGGGTATGACTGCTACATTTGGACCTACTCAGCAGAGTGGAGCCAGCGAGCAGCAGGTTTGGGTGCTTCAGGAACTCCCTTTCTAGTTAGAGCTGCAGCTATGGGGAACAAGGTGGGTAGGGTTAAAAGCTGGAAAGCTACCTACAACCAGAAGATAACATAGATGAATGGGATCTTCTAAGACTCAAATCCCTATGCACATCCAAAAACTTCTCCAGTAGGGTAAAAAGGGAAGCCACTGA